CAGATTCAAATTTCATGGATAAACCAGCAAGGATTACGCTGACTTGCTTAGGGGTGTAAACGAGTCGAGTCGAGCTCGAATATTAATGAGCTCGACTCGACTCGAAAACTCTGAAATGGAGCTCGACTCGATTCAAAAACTCGTGAGCTTAAAATTTTCAAGCTCGACTCGAACTTGAAATCCTGAACTGAAGCTTGTAAGCAGCTCAAAAAGGCTCGAAATGAAGAAAAATCTTAAACTTAACTCGATTGAAGCCTCAAACTCGAACCTGAACCTTAAATACATGAAAATCTTACTATATTTTAAAAAAATCAATACATATCACAGATGTACTTGACATTGGCAAGAAATTCATTCACCGACTGGCCAGCTTTGCGTTGAGAGTGATCGAGCACCAAACAAACGTGCAATAGTAGTCCAATAGTATTAGCATAAGTGAGGCCAGTAAGATTTGGTAAGACTTCAGTGCTAACAGTAGTGAGCAACCATGAAGCTAACAACTTATATTGTTATTGATAGAGGTTGAACACCGGAGTGTCATCAACATGTCCAGACACTGTCTTTGTAACCACCACAGGAGGCCTACCTTCATCTGAAATGAACCGAAGCAAACCATAACCATCAACAATGAGAGATACATGATGCTTCCATAGTAAATAGGTATTCTCAGAAAGCTTGACCACATCCTGTTTAGGAATATGCTGAATGGAGAGATATCCATCGTACACAACCACACACAGCAGTAGACTAACGACGCTTGAGCTCCCAATCCTTGGCAACTGATACCATGTTAAAGTAACAACATAACTAAGTAAAATGAACAAAGAAAATCAAGTATGCACTATTTGATTCATTTGTTAAAATCCACAGTTTACAGTAATAGCTCTGGTCACTTTATACACAAGAGGAGAGGAATATAAATGGCGAGAAAAGACATTAGAGGAGAGAGAGAGAGTTTGTTAAATCTAAACAGCTCTAAACACCTCACGTTCTTCACAAATGCATATATGCATGAGATACATGCATACATCATACACTAACATTCCCCTTGCTAATCCAAACTCCACTCTGCTAACTTCCTTACTGCATAGACATTAACACATGCATCTTCTTTTTCTACCTTTTTAGCAGCTTTTTTTTATCACATCTCAAACGTCGTTTGTATATTTTTGTATAACATCTTATATTTAATTAATCTATATCAAATATTACAAAATCTATACTAAATGTTAAAATTTAAATCATTGATTTAATTTAAGAGATTGTTTTAATTAAATTAATTGATAATTAAAATAAATTATATATATAATATTAGATTTAAATTTAAAAAATGATAGTATAAAATTCTAATATATATATAAAGAAAATAAGTATACAAATTTCCTTTTTTTTTTCTTATTCATTCGACACATCAAACTAACTTTTATAATTTTTATAAAATAATAAGATGTATTTAGTCCTCTATGAGACTTAGGACATCAGCCTTTATATATCTATATATGTGTATGTATGTATACACAATAAATAATAGTTTTATTCGGGTTGAAGTTTTATATAAATCTTCGATGAATCCAGTTATGTGTCCAAACATAAACCTCTATAATTAAGGATAATTAATTAATATATAGCATGAAAAATGGCACCCATAATTACGCAAAGCTAAGCTCAACTAACTCGGTTTCTACTTGCCTTTATCTTTATCATCACAGCACATTACATTAAACGAAAAACACTATTTAGGGCTAATATCATAATTATAAATTAAATAGAAAACGTATTGGATTCTAGATATTATATCAGAAAATATATATTATGAGTGGAAGAGAATGTAAATTATCTATAACTTGAATGGTAGGTATTATTATTTTATCCGTGATTTAATCGACTAATAAATTATTAATTTTAAATTTTGTTGTGAATGTTATTAATTTAGAAATGTTTAACATTATAAAATAATTATATGAAAATTTTAATTATTATATTAGTATTTATATATTTTATTTTCATTACTTATACCATGATATTTTTTCTATTTTTTCTTACTAATTAAAGAATTTATTTGAAAAAAATCTAATTATATTTAATTTAATAAATTATAATAATTAATTGAATTCTTTATACTTATATAATTACATTCAAATTATACTTGAAACATGATTCTCAATTATGTAAAGTGGTGTAACTAACTCAGTGGACCAACAAAATCCCACGTAAAAGATTTGGTAAGGACCCGTAGTACCCTACACATTTATTCGGTTTGATTAAAACCAAAATGTGAGGTCCATGAGAACCACTTGAAACGGTGAAAGCGTTATCAAAGAAAAAGTTTACAACGAATGTATAGAGTGGTATCAATAATTAAAACGAGTAATGTTCTTTTTGTTAAATAATAAATTCGAACAATTACATCAGTAAATTGTATATATTGTCGATAATTAAAAATATATATAAATTATACCTTATAATCACTCTAAAACATTAAAAAAAATACAACTTGAAATATACGTTAATATTAATTCAATTAAAAAAGCACCACCCGTTGTTCTAAAACTAAATATATCAACTTGCGACATGTGGGCAATGGAAAGAGATTGATACCCCTCATCTTGGCCCTTGTCACATACATGCATTTCCCATATCTTAAATTTCAACCACACCCACTTGGAATCATACACAATTTTGCCAATAAGTAAATTGAAATCATAGAATTTTACAAAATAATTTGTCAATATGTTTTAAATAATATAAAGCTTTTTGAAAGTGACACTTTTGGAATTCTAATATATATATTTAATAATCATATTAACTTTTTACATAGTTAAAAAACTTGAAAAATGTCGAATGTGATTAAAAAGGATTGAAAATTTACCATTCACGCATTAGGATAAATTGAAAAACAAAACTGTTACTGAACATAACAAGAGTAAAAAGGATTGAAAATATTTTACACATTTTGAGGTATTTATTTGTATTTAAATTCTTTATCATTTCACTTATAATTATTTTTAAACAAAATATATTTGACTATAGTTTTTCACTCACATCGGTAATATGTAATTATATTATTTGTGTTTACAAAAATTAAGAAGATGCATAGATTGTTCGTCCCTGGTTCATTGCTTTTGAGTAAAGGTTAATAATATATTACACACTTACTTTGACCAAAGATTAAGGTTCCTTTTTTTGTCTTTTTAGTTAAAATTCTTTATTATTTCAATAAATAAATAATTAATAATAATTAAACTTTCTTTCGTTGAAGTTACTTAGCACCTACATTAGTATAAACATTTATAAAATAAACAAACATATTTTCCTAGGTTGTTTTATATATTTTATTACAGAAAAATGAAACCAGCCACTTGGGCTAAGAATCTTCCATGATATCCATGAGGGCAATATTATATTAAAATACAGTAAAAGTACATAAATAATCACTCAATTACACTAAAATGGTATTTTTGATATTGAAGTTTCAAAAATTGTAAAATAATTATTAAATTTATCAAATTATTATAAAACGGTCACTATATGTTATTTACATTTTGATAAATTCGGAGATCATTTTATTACATTCCGATAAATTTAATGACTATTTTATAATATTTTATTAAATTTTAATAATCATTTTATAATTATTTTAAAAAACAATAACCATTTCATAACTTGTGAAATTTTAATAATTCAAATCATTATATCAATCTAATTTGTTGACCACTTGTAATCTGACAATTCCTAAGTCTTCCTTTATAGTCTTCATCTCATTATTCAAATAACATAAGATTTTTAAATGTGCCCAACTCATCAAAGTTGGAAGTGCATGTGGTGCATATATTCTCCAATTGACTATTCCATTATATCGCACTTGCTCTTTCTATGTTCTTTTATGTTTTTATTAATTACGTCGAGGGAATTGCTTGCTATCTTACTGCCCACTAACTTTCTCTTCATTCAATATGTAAAAGCTATCAACATATGATAAGTGTTCAGAACTGTGTACATCATGATATGAATATACATTTTCACATATATAAAATATTATCTATACTTATTCATATTTAAATGCTATTGAATATAAAGAATAAATTTTTATTAGAAAATTGCTTTTTATTTTCCATTAGTTAATAGAAGATTATTTTTTGGTTATTTGACCTTAGCTATGATAATATCATCAAATACCAATAAAATTATTTAAAAAATCTAATAAATGAAAATTTGGGTTATTAGGGTTGTTGGGGTGGCTAGCCCCAAATGATGTGGTGAGGAAAAGAAAAGAAAGGTCACCATTTGTTTTGTTTGAAAGAAAAAGAATGGTGCGATCGTGGGGCCAGCAAAGCCCACTTTGTATGTCAGTGGGTGAAGCAGCCATCTTTTCTTTATATTTGTTGTCAATGTCAAATTCTATGTACGCTTCATTAACCTGCACACCCGGTTTTACCCCCAACTTTCAATTATTTGCATAATTTGCTAGGTTAATGTCATATCATTAACTTAAATGTGAAACACATATAGTCAAGTTGCTTTAGTTGAATCAAGGGTTAGATTGTCTGGTGATCAAGAAGTTTCCTATGGTTTCCCGACACGAAAACAACACACTTTAGAAGGTAAAATTGCCATGGATTTAACCTTCAAAAACCACATCTTTTCCTTAACCTCTTCATAATTTGGTGTTTTGTCTTTCCATATGTGTATAAATAGTAAATGTTCTCGTGAGCTGTGTGTGCATGTGCACCGATGGGGCCACGAGACAGGAGGTGCTGTTGATGTTTTGAACATTGGGCATAGGACAACTGTTGTACAGTTTTGAGACACAGTGGGCTGGAAATCTTTAAGTGGTTATTGATAAATACCCCACTGGGACGAACCACGGTTGTCCATTGTTAATTACCAACAAAAACGCCAAGAAAACTAACAGAGAATTACTGGAAACACTGTATTTTTTTCTTTCCAATCTTGAAGGCTAGTAAACTATATTGTATGTAAGAACAATCCAGCAGAGAAGAAGAGAATGGGACATTTCAATAAACAAATATTTGCTCTTCTAATCTTGTAGCTCTCGCTCCCAAATATCAACTAGAAAATCCACCATTTCCTGCCACAAAGTACCCAACAAGGATTGAGGAACTCTACAAGGAGGATGAACAGTTTATAATAACGTCAGAAAATAGCTAAAAGAAGAGAAAACTTACAGGAAGCGGAATCGGGTGGGGGAATGCCTTATATTCCCCATGTAAACTCTCATAGATTGTATTCCAACTGCAATAAAATGGTGTAAGCAATAAGCACCAGCAGAATGTATATATTTTCTTTACCAAAACAAAGAATGAACAATGCCTGTTTTTAACATGTAAATAGAGGTTAAAACAACTAAAAATTCGGCTTATTGGTTGTTATCCTCTCCTTAAGAAGGTTAAGGTCTAACTTCTAAGCTTCAAGTTCCCTCTTCCCTCTTGGACCTCCTTCTAAGGTTAAGGTCTAACCTTCAAGCTCTAGGGTATCGGTACCAAGATCATGTAAAAAAATAGTCAGTTGGGGCCATTCTAGGGGATTTTTGGATTCTATTCATCTCGAGTAATGTTCTATATTTTGAAATTAGGAAAACAATGAAAATTACTTTGTCGTGGTTTCTCGAGGTTGCACCCGATTCTCAGTCTTCTTATTTGCAAGCCATTGTTGCCTTGTTTGATTCCAAAGAAGAAGACCTGCAGGCAATTTTTCATTGTTAGAAAATTTACCTCACCGTATGATTACCAAAAGGTAGGCTGATCTTTTCAGATAGATTGGGTAAAATGGTGCTAAAAACTCACAACAGCGCATGAAAACATATGAAACAATGGGATGCTATTCAACTTTATTTAGTGGTATATAGAAGCTAATACATCTGAACTTGCCATGATTTACAAAATCGGAACGTTGACTTGTGCTGCCAGAAGGATCAAGATTTGATGCGTTTTTCGGTGAAAGGGAACGGACTTCGCTATGTTCCATTTCACATGCACTGCTATTCCAGAAATCATCAGAAAAGCTAGATCTCTTCACTTTCTGGCCCTGAACCCTTAGACCTTGCCATGGATCATCCACACCAGTAATTGGCGAGGGTTTCGTGAAGCACCCAAAACAACCTCTGCTCTGTTACAAACTGGGATTAAACAAGTGCATAACTGGTATCAAGTATCAACAACAGCAACCTAATCCTCAAATCTAGCAGCTGGAAAGAAAAGCCATCGTTTTCACAACCATAGCAGGGAGGTAATCACATAACATAGAACACTCAAAATAATTGAAACTTCAAAAATGTGTGATGCTGAACATAATCGACAAGGAGTCGCACTTGAAACATAGTGAAGTAGCAATCATTTTACTTGGTCAACATTGGCATGAGCTACATATATGACCGTAGTGCAGCTGAATAATGTAAATTTTGCTGGCTTAATCTCCAGCAAGTAGGCGATCATCAACAAATACCTCTCAAACCCATTTCCCCTAATACATAGATTCTGTGCAGGTAAATAATGCAAATTGCACCAACTTCATCTTCAACCAACATGCAGGGGACCGAACTTGTGCATGAAGTAAAAGCAACTACAAATATCACTCAAGCCCATTTTCCTAAAGTTTCAATGCAGAGAATTTATGAGCGCTTATAAATTGCTGAGTCTACACTCTACATGACAAGAGAGAACATATATAACCACTAAATCTTGCACACGCACTCACATGCAAACCTAGTCCATTTCAAAAACAAACAAAAGAAGAACATGAGAAAGAAAAGTAGTTGCTCACACTGAAAAGAGATATGCATTTAGCCTTGAGTGCTTCCATTAGCCGGAGTGCTAGAGCACGTAAATAAGCTCCAGAAAACAAAACAAAAGAACAAAATGGTTTCTGCCCGAAACATCTCTCAGTCTGGGCTAATAAACAACACCTAGGATCCATACCTCCCGTAGAACACCAAATCCCAAAAGCAAAACAAAAACTCGTGTGTCATGCAATCAGGTACCCAATGCTTCAAGCAAAGAATGCCCCCAAAATCGAAATGTCCCCCAAACCGTTCCCCCTAGTCTTTACGTCTCATTTTATAGTTCGCTTATACAACAAGTAAGCACGAAACATAACTCAACAGATTCCTTACCAAAAGAAAAAGACAAACTTGAACTACACAAACAAAGCATTAACAACTTTGTTCTATAACCAAGAAAGCTTAAGAGTCAGATTTGATAATATTCACACAAATGAACAGCTAAAAAGTACAAACTTTTATTCCTTGCAAATAGAAAAAGAATGCAGAAGAAGAACTGACCCCATGCAGGCAAAAACGGCAGAGATCCAAGTGGGGAGGTAACCGGAAGATTGCATCTAAAATCCCCACAGTAAAACCAATATTCAAGGAAAGAAATTACTTAAATTCCTGCAAGAAATTTTTAAAGAGGCAGTACCTTTATTTTCCAAATCCTTTCCCTGGAAATTTCCGAGGAAAATGAAACTAAGATAGAGGAAAAAGGGTCTTTAGGAGAGAAAGAAAGAAATGCAATTAACAGCTTAAGAACGCATGTTTAGAAATGGATTTGGATATTTCGTGATGAAAACGTAAATCTTGTTCCTGGAGAGCGGCTGGTTTCCAGCTGTTTTAGTATCCGAAGTCCAAAAACTCTTAGTTTTCTTAAGGTCTCTTTTCTTGCCTCCTAAATTAATCAGTTTTCTGGTTTTATTGAATGGCGTGAAATTGCAAGTTTCTTTAAAACCTTTTTCTCAAAGTCGGCTACTTTTAGATAAACTATTCTATTTTCCCACCCTAAAATTTAAGATTATATTATTAATTACATTTTAATTTATAATTCCATTCATGTTCTTTTTCAGAAGAACTGCTATCAATGAAACTAAGTAGTAACTATTGGAGGAAGGATGTTTGATTTGCTGCCAAGGACTGGAGCTTTGGTGTCTGGAAAAGTTTCAGTCCCTGGAAGTGATGAAACTGAGCCATCTTCCCCAACATTAATCGGGTAACGAAGCAGGTGACCCGGTAGATCCTCCTCAAACGTTTCGTATGTGTACAAATTCCAGTTTCTTTCAGCAATAGAATTAACTTCCATGATACATTTCTTGGTTTCTGGAGTAGTGAAAGAGCCATGAAGCTGTCCAAGATGTTCATGCCAAAGAGCCATACGAAGACCATATATCTGACCCCTAGCTGGTTGAGTAGTAGCTAAATGGTGTGGTTGAAATGCTCCCATTGCAATCTCCGAGTCTCTGGAACCAGCCATTGATCTCTCATTGATGTTGGCAGATCCGACAATAATGTATTCATCGTCAACTGATAAACAACAACAAGAAGCTATAAACAAAAGGTCAGGAAATTTCTGCTAAACTAAAACTATGCCAAGTTTCATTACATACCGATCATCATCTTTGAATGAACATAGATCATAAACCGGCGTGATTGTTGAGTTCTGCCATAATCTGAATTAGGGTCAGGTTTCTCTTTAGGTGAATACTCTTCAGTTTTCTTTGTCTCCCGGTTCCCAAGGCAGTAAAACGCCAAATAGTCTCGGGGATGTGCGTTTAGACCCTTCTTTTGAAGGGCTTGTGCAATATCACGATACATCATTTCGATTGTTCTCCTTTGCCAATCTAAGATTGCCTGAATTGGACCACTGTCTGGTACACCTTCTGGCCACATTGGAATCACAATGTAGACTGAGAACCTCTCCCCTGCTTCTATTTTACTTGCGATCTTTAGGGACAGTTCTTTTGGTACTAGATTTAAAGCAGCAATGTCCTCATCCTTGACGTCCTTTGAGTTCCAACCAAAGGAGCTTCCAAGGAAATATTGGTTTTCAATGTAAATAAAGTTCTTTGCTCGGCGTATTGCATTGATATAAGCATCTTGAATGCTTTGCTCGAACAAGCCCGTCATCAATGGATCGAAACAACTGGACACACCATGTTTCACTGTGATCTAAAGGCAGGTTCTTTTGTGGTCGGATTGTCACTTTCGCGAGCCTGTCCATAGGAAACAGGAGATGTTTCTTAAACCGAGCTTGTCTTAACCACCTTTGTTCGAAATTGTAAAGGACATCCCAAGCAACTGGACCTTCTAGTTTGCAATGAATATCATGCCAAGGCTCCCTTGGACCGCCTTTCTTGATCGAAGAGTACGGAAAGTTTGGCTGATGGAAATCATCATGATGAATGTCGTTCAAAGTCCCGAATAGAAGATGGTCTTGAGTATCATATCTCCCATCACAAAGATCAATGCCACCAATGAAACTGACAACCGCTCGCTTCCCCAATCCTGGATCCGAATTTTCACCATCAACAATTAGTGTCTTCTGGTGGTGAGTAAACATGGTAGCAACTTTAAAACCCTGAACAAAGCTTCGCTTATTATCAGGATTACGAGGGCAAAGAACACAATGCACACCCGTAAATCTAAAAAAAGCAGCTGTTTCTTCATCATGGGTTGACATCAAACCTTGCTCTTTCAGCAATTCAATGGAAGTTCTATCATCCCAAACAAGCAAAAGAACTCTCACCCCTTCCTTAGCCTTCCTCAAAAGCAGCTGCCCAAGTGTTTCTTCACTTCCAGGCTTTTGCTTACTTGGGTCCCTAATCAAAGTTATCTGTGTGTAAACAGACCAACCAGTTATATAAATGAAGTGTTTGGCCTTATCAATTGCCTCAAAGATATCATCCCAACATCTACCAGGTTCGTAAGTCATCCCTCCAGATAGAGGTATTTTAGGCTCGAAATGATCTGAAATGTTGGCATCTTGATAGAGGGTAACCTTGCATCCCGCTCGTTGTTCAAAGAAAGTAAAAGGAACTCCTCCAAAATCTGGGTTTATAATTCCTCTGGACCAACTTTCATCCACGGAGACACTTTGAAACTGCAATTTTATATGGATTATGGACTGTCCAGGTATTGGCTTATGCTCCTCATCTAGGATTTGAAGATCGCGAGTCACGGTAGACCCATCGATTATGTCTTTGACAGGCAAATAAGCTCGGCCTATTAGCACTGCCCCAATGGGACTGTTATCCTTTACAGTGAATATAACATGTGAGATCAAATGGGCACAATATATGCGGAAGTTCTCGTTCCAATGGGGTGACGATGGTCTATGTCTTACAATCGTTGTGCGGGCGACCCTAGCTTTGTCTAGATCGACTGTTGCATACAGCTGTGGACCTAAGAACTGCAAAAAAGAGGTTATTAAAATGTTTTAGAACACGAAAGATCACAAGCGATTAGTGAAACATCAAATGATAAGGCAGGTATCGCACCGTTCTCTTGACTTTGGCAAGACATTTTTTCTGGAACTTGCCTGCGCTCATGGTCTCCACCATTTAAAGAAAACAAGAGAAAAGGATTCAATTACATCAGTATGTCGAATATGTATGTTTATCGGTATGGCTTACGCTTATCTAGATTCGAGGTGAGTGTCCAATATGTATGTTTGATATGGGCATATTTGGAGGATCACAGACTTATATTTAGGTTCAAAGGGTTCAGAGAACATAATAAAATGAGAAGTTATTCCTAACATGAATGCAGCTCAAACTTCATCAACAAATAGACCCTAAATAATACTTGCTTACCCCAAGGCAAAAATTCTCTTTACATCCATAATGTAGTTCATCAATCCCATATATTGTTGCAAAAAGTGTCCCATGCAATAAATATTGCTCCTCCTGCTGCTGCTGCTCCATTGTTTAACCTGCAAAGCCTTAAAAATATCACAAAAATGCACCCACAATAGGTACATAGTCCTAAACAAGGGGGGAAATGGGGAGAAAAATGGCTGTTGTAAATTAACTGAGAAATAGAGCTTTAGGATGATTGCCTTAGAGGTAGGTTGATGGATGAATTCCCTGGGAAAGATTTTGATGAGCCATGTTCTCCTTAATTATACTTAGAATTGCTTTCTCTCATATGAAAGTGTGAAGAAAGAGACAATACACATTGCAATTTGAAGTAGGAATCAGATCCCAGCTTTGCTTCCCGGCAACCACTTTGCCAGAAGCAATGTATGTATATTTTACATGCACAAGGACAGGGGTAAGAGTTGGCTTTTTATGTAAGTAATTTAATCTTGATAATATTAAATCAAATATTCATATTGATTAGTTTTCTTTCTTAAATGATCACATTGTTTATTACACAGGTAGCAGTGCATGATTCGTGAATGGATCCAGAATAATGCAAAAAAAGAAATTTCTCATGAAAATTGAGCTTGACAATGCATTTTAGTCGTTCTTTGCTTGAATAATCCGGGGATGAACGCACGACTTACGTAGAGGTGTGAATTATTAGAAAACCATATTAGAAATTGAAGAATACAAAATTAATAAAACTTTCAAATAGTGTAAAATTAGAACATCAAAATATAAAAAATACATTTAAACTATACGAGGATTTAAATTTTCTAAATATATGAATTGTCTTTCAACACATTTTTCGGTCTATCATTGTGAATAATGATATATGTAGGAGTGAGCAAAACTTGACTCGACTCGAAATATCAATTTTTTTGACTCGATCGACTCAAATTGATTTCGAGTTGAAATTTCACAAACTCAAATTGACTCGAAAAAATTTCAAGTTTAAATCAGATTGTGAAATACAACTCGAATAACTCAAAATTTTAGTAATTAATGGATTAATTTTCAAATTTGAGTACAATCCCTCAACTCTGTATAATATATATATATATGGTTATAAAAATCATTTAAACTAGAATCAAATAATATCATAATATTATAAATATTTACAATTAAATTTAAACAAAAACTCGAAAATTCGGCTTAACTTGACTCGATCGAATTTTATAAACTCGAATGAACTATAAAAATTTTCAATTCAACTTTGAGTTATAAAATAGGACTCTTCAACTCAAATAATTCAATTTTTTTACTCGATTCGATCGAACGCTCACCCTTGGATATGTACAACATAGAGAAAGAATCTAAATAGAAGTATTTGAAGTCTTGAAATTAAATTTAAATTATTATTATAATTTTTTTGAATTAATCACTGGTATCCGATCTATTAACCGACTAATCTAGATCGGGTACTACAAAGAAGAGGGCGACCCTTCCAACTTAGTTTGCTCCATTGTAAACATCAGAATTCAAACTCCTGACCTTGCTTAAGGGATCTCGTGTCTCATCCCACTAGACCAATTAATTGTTGATATTTAAATTATTATTTTAATATAACTATTTTAAATAATTTTAATTTTTTAAATTCACGGAGAAAGTTTGATAGAATTCTAATAATTTTAACGCATATTAATTGGGCTTTTAATTTTTTGTTAATTTTATACTCTTAATTTTGGGTCCAAATTGGGCTGGGTAAGGACCACAGGCGTTAACTGCCAGATAGGTCCAGCTCAGAGCTGCGTGAGATTGTAAATACTAAGAAGCAGTTAGGGTATTGTAGGAAATTAAATAAAATTTATGCTGTTTATCATGCTCGGGTTCAAGAAAGCTCCATTTTTTCCTCGCTACGAGTACGACACTAGAATATACATATATATTCTTCATAAAGAGCTAACCCTTTTTTGCTTTGCAGGCATTACAAACCCTAACCCTAGTACCTTCAATCCTCTCCCCATTTTAATTAATTTCAAAGGTAAATCCCACGAAGCTATTTCTCTTTGAAACCCTAACTTTTTGATCTTATGTTACTTTTAAAGCCCTAACAATTTTTTTGGGGATTTTATAGATAAATGGGAGAAACAAGGGAGACCGATGCTTACGAGGAGGAGCTTCTCGACTACGAGGAGGAAGAAGATAAGGCACCTGACTCTGTCACCGCTAAAGTCAATGGAGAGGGCGCGAAGAAGTGAGTTTGACTTCATTTATAATGTTTGCTTTCCCGTTTAACTGCTATTTAATATTTATGATATAATTTTAATATTTCTCTTTTTGGAGAAAAAAATAAAAATAGTCTGTTTTGCTTTTGTGTGTTATGGTAAATAATCCATGGGGAAGGTTTTTCGCTCTAATTATGATGTTTCTTTTGTATTTGTAGGGGCTATGTTGGCATCCACAGTTCAGGATTCAGAGACTTCCTTTTGAAACCAGAGTTTCTTCGTGCCATTGTTGACTCTGGATTTGAGCACCCTTCGGAAGGCAAACCCTTGATTCTTCTTGCCTTCTTTATATTTGTTAACCTTATCACAGTTTCATATTTAAAGCCATAGTTATAAGTTAAAATTCATAGATGGATTGTTCTTTGGTGGTTTACCTTGTTATTATTTTCCATGCACGGGGATTTGAGTGCATGATGATTGATTGTATTTAATGTTCTCTTGTTTGAAATAATTGTTAGGTCTAATTTTTTTGTTTGATGCATTGTTTTTGCAGGTAATATACCACTATCATAAAGTTTCAATTAAACGGATCACGGAGGTTATATTTACTTAACACGGGTCCTTCGATGCACTTTTCTTTGGTTCTACGCCAGTGCAACATGAATGCATTCCCCAAGCTATATTGGGTATGGATGTCATTTGCCAAGCTAAATCAGGGATGGAAAAGACCGCAGTTTTTGTTCTATCAACACTAAAGCAAATCGAACCTAGCCCAGGACAAGTTATTGCCCTTGTTTTATGTCATACAAGGGAGTTAGCTTACCAGGTCAGAACAAGTTCTGCATCTTTTTTTGGAAGCTTTGTGATGGATGCTTTGCTCTTCAAGTTATATGATATATGTCAACTCATTTTTGTTTTCATCTTGTAGATTTGCCATGAGTTCGAGAGATTCAGTACATATCTGCCTGATATCAAGGTTGCTGTCTTTTATGGAGGTGTCAACATCAAAGTTCACAAAGATCTATTGAAAAATGAATGCCCCCACATTGTTGTTGGGACACCTGGAAGGATATTGGCTCTGACAAGAGACAAGGATCTTTCTTTGAAGAATGTGAGGCATTTCATTCTCGATGAATGTGACAAGATGCTTGAATCACTTGGTAAGGTTTTCTTGACCCGAAGCTGGATAAGGGTTTTATTTTAAAATGTTTAATTTACTTATCCTACTACCTCGTATTATGTCTTCTTATCTTATGCAGACATGAGGAGAGATGTGCAGGAGATCTTCAAGATGACCCCTCATGATAAGCAAGTTATGATGTTTTCTGCAACACTCAGCAAAGAAATTCGCCCGGTTTGCAAGAAATTTATGCAAGACGTAATTTTCCATGGCCAACACCACTTGAATTGAGAAGTATCTTTTTAATTCATGTCCAGCTTCCACTCATAGTTTTGTAAATTTTTACATCTGGTGGGTCCATCTCAATATACTTTCCCGGTGGTGCTGCTTGGGTGCAGTTGCTTCAGCTAGTTATTCACGAGTTTGCACTGTGTAGGGTTTTAAAGTAGTGGATTTGTGTCTGATTTGTTTTATTTTGTTTCAGTTTTCTGTTTAGGCTATAGGTATGGGTCTAGAGTTGGGGTTGGTTAGAAGGGTTAGGCAATTCTCTGTGTGGGGTGCATGCAGGGGCTGTCATGCAATAGAATCTTTGTTTTTAAGGGAAAGAAGCACTTGCATTCTACGACTAAGTAACAAATCTGCAAGGAGGCAAGACTTATGGACCAGAATCTCAATTCAAGGATGTGCAATTCGTATTTTCCTGGATTCCATTTGCTTGAAAAAGCTCCCTAATATGATTTACTGTGACATTTGTTCCTTTCAGCCAATGGAAATTTATGTTGATGATGAGGCCAAGTTGACCCTTCATGGTCTTGTACAGGTATCTGTGAAGCTTAGCTCAGCCTCCCTCGGTTTTTAATTTGTTCTAAAAGATATTTATTAGGAAAATGCTTCTAATGACGGCATTACATCAAATTGAGTGAAATGGAGAAAAATCGCAAGTTGAATGATCTCCTTGATGCGTTGGACTTCAACCAAGTTGTTATCTTTGTCAAAAGTGTGAATCGTGCAGCTGAGTTGAACAAGTTACTTGTGGAGTGCAACTTTCCATCTATATGCATTCACTCTGGCATGTCCCAGGAAGAAAGGTTTGTCCCCATAAGCATGCCTTTATTCTTTCTATGTTGACCTTTTTTGAATGAGAGGCTTGCCAACTTGATATTCTTGTAAAATATATTACTTAAGGGCCTTCAACACAAGGACCCTTATGAAAGGTTTTAAAGCATGTTTTTTTTGTTGCCCTTTCGATTCTCAGTGCTTTGCACTGACTAATTCGGACCGGCCCGTATCGCATACTTTGCTTTGGTGGGTGAGTCTCACAACGGGAATTTTATGCATGCACAAGGACTCGAACTCGAGACCTTGTTTAAGCTATATCAAGCTGCTTATCATTTGAACCAACCCAGTTAGTTTTAAAGCAGGTTTTTTAATGCTTTGGGTATGGTTATTTGGTTGCTGATTTCGTTTATTCTGGTACAGTGGATGCTGTGATTTATAAGTACTTGGAACAATGGAACATTGGTTTTGAGATAATTTTGGGTTATGCAACATGACCCCTTTCTCCCCTTTATAAGAGTGGTGCAAAACAAATATTAAGTAGCACCCCTTTTGACTCGATTATTTTTTAGTTTACTTGGTATTATTGACTTCTTGTGACTCCAAATCTAGGAACCTTGTTTTAGGGTTTGGATGGTGTCTAATGTCTATTCATTGGTGCTTACTTGTCTAGAGGATCAGCTTTTCTTCTGTTTGAGTCCCCAGAAAAGTAGTGCTCCTTGATTTAATATGACGTGGTTTGACTTTTGATGATTTGTAGGTTGACTCGCTACAAGGGTTTCAAGGAGGGGCATAAAAGAATTCTTGTGGCGACAGATTTGGTCGGAAGGGGAATTGACATTGAACGTGTTAACATTGTCATCAACTATGACATGCCTTATTCTGCTGATACGTACCTGCACAGGGTAGGTTATATTTTGACTACATTACCATACTAATCTTGCTTCTTTTTAAATATAACCTGTGGTTAACCTTATTTGCAGGTTGGTAGAGCTGGTAGATTTGGCACTAAGGGTCTTGCAATTACATTTGTTTCATCTGCTTCAGATTCTGATGTTCTCAACCAGGTTGGGATATTGAGAACTTCTGAATATATTGTCCCCTAATGTATCCTTGATCAAAATATTCAATCCATTGCAGGTCCAGGAGAGGTTTGAGGTGGATATAAAGGAGCTTCCTGAGCAAATTGACACATCTACGTACAGTATGTTTCCTTTAATGTCTTCCTTCTGCTTCCTATATAAGTAGTTGAACATACATATTTCTTGTCAGTTTTCAAGGCATCTTAGGAGGATATGCTTGATTTCCGCTCAGTTTAAATTGGTTCATTGGGAAGTTTTTGATTTGCTGTACTTATTTGCAGCCATGGCCTGACCACGTCAACATTGAAGTAGCTTATTTCTGTTTATCTTTCTGTATGATATTTTGTTTTAGTGTTTGGACGTCGTTAGGTTCCATTTTGATTTTGTTCTTGGATGTTACGGAAATATTTCAGTGCGTGTTAATTATATTACACTTGGTTAATTGGATAGTGACCAACATTTTCTATTGCTTAATGATTTTTTTGTGTAGTGCCATCATAAAGAAGGTTCGTTCTACTGTAGCTGGGTTTTGAAATCCAAATCACTTAATGATTTGTGTGGTCGCTGGAAGCCACGTGTATTTGTTCATAAAGGAATGCTTTTAAATCAGTTGCTTGGGAGCAGCAACAGAGGCAGTTGCAGTTGGTTTTAACTTTTTAAGAGTATTGTAGCCTTTTGTAAGAACTTAAATTTGGATTTAGCTTTTATCTTTGGGGAAAATTTTCCTTTTGAGGACATTGTTTTGGCTATGCTAGAGTTTCCTGTTATGTTATAGTATCTTTTATAATTTTGAGCATGACAACCTTTATGTACTTGTTAGATTTTAAAATCACTGAATGTTGATCTCTTGGTTTTATTTTGGGTTAGTATTCCATCACATTGCCAGATTCTTGTTTGTTTCTGTTATCCTCTAATTTAGAACTATGTTAAAAGGACGAGCACTTGCATTTCTTGTTTACGAGTCAAACGATGATGGGCACAGCTAGCTTCTAAATGCGTACAGGAAAATGAGTTTTGATTGCTTGTCATGGGAGATTTCTCTGAAATGTTATTATATTTTGCAGTATTCCTTGTTAACTTCTTTTAAAGGTCCCATTTTCCAAACGATAACAACAAAATAAACGTCTAGTTTTCCCCTTTCTATATATGTTCATCGGAAATGAATGTTTTTACATTGCAGGTTTCTACTTGCAATTTCAATTGCAACCATGTTCATGTTGCTATTCCTCACTACCTTCCTGAACCAAGCCTCTTCAACCTCTTTCGTTGAGCCACACTTTTTCTTTCCCCACCTTTGATCCTGGCAGTTGCACTAATGTCAGCTTGATCTGCATGGGCTCCGTGACTGCAGGAAACGGATACCTGAGCCTCACACCAGAACCTACCAACAATTCAATTTCATCAGGCTCAGCATTAGATCCAGTAGGTCGGGTTCTATTCCCCGTCCCCATGGTGGCCAGGCCAGCCTCCATCTTCACCACCTTCACCATCAGGATTTCTCCCTTCCCAAATTCTACGGTCTCTGGTGATGGCATGGCTTTCATTATTGCTCAGGATAACTCGACTTCACCTCCTACCAGCTCTGGATCGTATCTTAGTATCATGGACTCATCAACTAAAAGTAGCCCAAATTCACCTTAAAACACTATACATCTTTAATACTTATCGAGTTATAAGAAACCAATTTCATGCCAAATTTCAGGTGGCTTAATTAAACAATAGCCTTGGAGTTGGATACTTTCAAGAATGAATGGGATCCGGATGCAAATCATATTGGTATCGATACGATAAGCATGATGAACCTGTTGTAGCTAAAAGCCTTAACAGTGCTGGTATTGACCTCAAAAGTAGAAGAAACATCAAGGTCAAAATCGATTATCATGGTTGGACAAAGATGCTTGAGATATCAATGGCATACTCGGGGGACAAACTTGTGAGCATACTTAACCAATCTATTGATATGACAAACACAGTTCCGAGCACAGTGTTTGTCGGCTTCACAGCTGCAACTAATAATAACAAAATCGATCATTTTTTAACGCCTAATAATGTTTATGGTCATTTTTTTATTGGTTTTGTTATTTAAACAATAACAAAACCGATAGCGTCTTTTTAATCGTATATTAAGGCTGCCGCACGATCATTCCCAAACGTATACATGTATTCCCTGGAATTCTGTCAAGCATGGAGCATATTCTCTCCTTAATTGCACATAATTAGTGTATAGTGCATAATCAACTATGAAAAGATTGACGAAAGTTCCAAGACTTCGGCGATTTGACCTAACTAACTCTTTTTTTTTTAAATTCTCCCGTTCTAACACCCGTTGATCAATATTTCCCGATGTAGCACCCTTTCGACTGAGGTGGCACAAAGGCGCATCCCCAGGGATGCGCTTTACCTGAGTTTATACTGAGTCAGATGTCACGTGTGAAAGGCGCATCGTTTTCCCCCAACTACCCCTTCTCCTCCCTTATACAAACCCTCTCAACCCCCTCTCATTCTTCACACCAAAATTATCTTCTCTTTTCTTATATAATTCAAATTCTCCAACTATTTGAGTTTTAAATTTCTTATTAATGGGAAGAAATTTATTTTTAAGTTAGTATTTTTAAATAGTTTTTATATTTTATAGTAATATAATTATATAAATATTATTTTTTATTAAAATAATATTTATATAATTATTATTTATTTAAATTTATTAATTATTATTTTTGTACTAATTATATTTTTTTGTCTGCAGTTATAATGGAAAGTGAAATGCTGCTGCGATTGGATGCAAACTATATCTCCAGACATTTTAGTGATATGATAATATATTTTTATAATTAATGTTAATATTTATTATTATTTTTAATTTAAATTTATAATGAATTTATATTAATTATAAATTTTTATAATGCATATTATTTAGGAAAATGATCGTATTTTAGAGACTTTTATTAAAAACCCACGTATACCAACACCGCAACGTATTTTGCCATATTTGTCTTCTGTTGGGTTCGGGTATATTACAACAATTATTGGCGGTTGCAAACTCGAACATGTCCTAATTTCTGCATTGATTGAGAGGTGGAGGCCCGTGACCACACATTTCATCTTCCATGTGGAGAGGCTACAATTACATTTGAGGATGTCTCTATGCTTCTGGGGCTTCCCGTCGATGGGAATATTATGTGTGGTATAGCGGATGGTGATTGGCAGTCAATGTGCATGGAGTATCTTGGAGCTGCTCCGCCAGAGTTTAATGGAGGTAGAATAGCTTTATCATGGTTGAAAGCTAATTTTGAAGTTCTGAGTGAAAATGCTTCAGATGATGAAGTAAAAGCATGTGCTCGGGCATATATTTTACGAATCATTGGAGGAATATTGATGCCCGACAAATCTCGCAACCAGGTGCATTGTATATGGTTGCGACATCTGATTGATTTTGATGAAGCTGAAAGATATAGTTGGGGCGCTGCAGTTTTGGCATTTCTCTTTAGAGAAATGTGTCTTGCGACAAATTATAAGAAAACTGCTATCGGTGGATGTCTCCTGCTTCTACAATCATGGGCGTGGTTCCACATGCTTTTTTATGCCCGATCGTCAATGAACCATACGTATTCCCCTTATTATTGAGGTAATTTTCGAACTAAATTTTGATTTAAATATTTTTAATTAAATAGGGTGATATTTAGTTTATATTATATTTCATAGGTGGTCGATGAAAAGAAAGAACCATAGAGATATACCTACTGGACTAGAGGAAATTCGTTTACTTATTGATACAAAAGCTGGGTCTGAGGTATGTTTTGAAATCTGTTTAAATATGAATATTTTAATTTAAAATGTTAGATATAATTAAAATATTATATTTATTTGAATTGTATATTTATATTTCAGTTTCAGTGGATACCTTATGCGAGCGATGAAGTAAAGGCTTGCATCTCACCCCACCTGAGTGGATCATTAGAGGTATGGATGTCAATTGTACCTCTTATATGTTATGCTATTATTGAGTGGCATCCAGTTCATCGTGTGCTCCATCAGTTTAGTTGTACGCAATATATTCCTGGAGCACCTAAGAATTTAGACGACATGCATAACATAGATAGACGAGGCAAGAAAGATGTTAACTGGGTGGTGAGACACATAGATTGGATTGTGCTTTGGGAGAACCGGTATGCACAGTTGGCCCCTCGACAATATTACGCTGAAACTGGTCATATGGTTACGGAAAACTATATGGACTGGTTTAATGAAAATGGAAAGCCTTTTCTACTTTCGGCGGAAGCACGAGGGGTTAACATTCCTAGGCGCCGGAGAGATGTTCACCGTCTCAATATCATCGTCCCCTGACTCGTGAACGGAGAGAAGACGTTACCGGTTATGCATCAGTCCCACCATAACATCCCTATCCACCGATGATGATGCCCAACCCTCCAGTTCAGATGCCATCTCCTCAAGGGTATATGCCAAGCCCACCAGTTTATATGCCACCTCCGCAGGGTTACATTCCTAGCCCTTAGGGTTACATTCCTAGCCCGCTATGTTACATTGTTGAAAATATTTTGATGTTTCGATATAACAAATTAAGTTAAATGAATTTTAAGATTTTACAAAAGATTTTCTAAGTATATTCGATGTAATTATTCGAATATCAAAATATTACTCCAAGTCTTTCAAAGTTCATTTTAATCCTTACTAAAGTGTAAAATTGTGTTTTATACTTAAACTATTTTAAAATAATTTTACAAAGTATTTCAAGTCTTAATCGAGCCAAAAATATTCTCTTTTTAAAGGGTTTCAAGAAAAATCAGATTGTCCAGGGGGTACAGATTCCCCCCAATGGGGTATCGATTCCCCAGGAATAGATTCCCCCCAGGGGGTACAGATTCCCCTGCATGGTTTGGCTCCGAGAAATAAAAGATTACTCGAAGGGAACCGATTCCCCCTTGAGGGTACCGATTTCCTCACTGTTCATCAGCCCAACAGTCATAATATTTGAATATTATGAAGGGGTATCGATTCCCTATGAAGGGGTACCGATTCCCCCCATTCTGGGCAGCCTATTTTTATAGAAAAATCATTCCCAAACGGCTCCAAAACATCCCCAACGGCTAGATATGACTTCAAACACATTCCAAGCTATAAATACAAGCTAAGGACACTTGAAGAAACAAGAGAACAACTATCCAAGCAATCAAACACAAGAGAAGAATTTTTCATTCTTATTTCATCTTTCTCTTGTAAATATTTTGTTCTTGTGAGCTCAATCTTGTAAACACCTACCTTAGAGAAGTTTTCTTGTTTACATCTTTTATCCTTTTGTAAAGGGGAAAGGTTCTAGCTTATCCCGTGTAAAATCTAGGGAAAAGGTTCTAGTTTAGTCCGGAAAAACTAGGGAGTTGTAAGGTTACTCTTTGTCCTTAAAAGAAAGAACAAATTAGTGAATTTGTTGGAAAATCCTTGGTGAGAAGCTAAGGTAGTGGACGTAGACTTTGGTTGAGAAAGTCGAACCACTATAAATCGCTGTGCAATTCTCTATCTTTCAATCTCCTTACTCCCTAAACACAAAACCGTTCCGACCTCTCTTTGCAAATCGTTCCGGTTGTCGATTCGAGTTTCTCAAAATCCCAACAATTGGCATCAGAGCCTAACTCGTTAAGAAGTTTAACCTTTTGAGACGATCCTAGAAGAATCTCTACCAATTCCCGACGCAACCGACAAAGAAATGACTTTTTC